TAGGGAATGAAACCTCTAGGTATTGTCTTGAAAACAATGAAAAGCAGGGAGTAGTGCATAAAACATCCATACAGTAGATCAAAATTCTTTGTGGAAAATGGATTCCAATGGGAGGAGTTTGCATGAGTCAGTGTTACTCATTATGCATAAGGGTTGCAGAACCTGGGTGGAAATAGAGATTGCACCTGGCTTCCTACTGTGACAGTTTCTAACAAGTCTCTAGAGTTAATAATCGGGGTGTAACTCACACTTTCATGAAAGGACAATGCTCTTCAGTCTGTCTCAGCCAATTCTATCACACCAGTGGTCTCTAGCTAGCAAATTATGTGTGAAACTGGAGTTAGTGATTTTGGCTGAAAAGTATTAATTGAGCCTGGTTTAGATATGTGAATGGCAATAGCAGAGAAGGGCTTGCATGCAGCTGCTTGAGACAGCACTACAAATCCCCGGAAAGACAGGGAGAAATGGCCCGTGTTAATGCTCTCTGTGCTCATAAAACTCAGTGAAGGCTTAGGGGCATTCCATGGTTTTGGGTTGAGTCACCCAAGTCTCATGGTCTGACTGAGAATAATGATGATGGCAATTCAGGCATGTCTAGTACTTTTTCCCTTTTTTAAGGGCTATTATTAAACAATTTTGTCTTCCAGCTGTAGTAAATCATGTGGATATCAGGGAAAGATCATGGCATGTCAGCTCCCAAAGCCTGCCAGCTACTCAAGGGGACAGAAGGGAAGGTTTGGGTGCTGTTTGTGATACCACTGTGAGTCCATTCTGAATCAGGTCCTTTGAAACTTCAAAATGGTTGGAGGGATCAGTAATAGTTTGTCACACAGTATGAGTTTTGCATTGCTTTGTCTCTTGAAACAGAAAATAATCCAACATTTGCATAACGGTGTTAAAGCCAGCTAAGTAATGTCAACATAAAATCGACAGATTTAACCTTCCTGTACTATGGGAAAAGATGGAATATGTGTTTAGATTTGGATTTGGAAATAATTTTAGTTTCTTAATTCAAAATTAGTCTATAAGCCTCAACATATAGAAAAGAATTTAATGTTCTAATTTAGTTTAGAACCTAGCCTTTATTTTTTATAAGTTTTGTATTGATATGACTAGAAATATTTGCATAATTCAATTAAGGTTCTCCATTGTCTGGATGGTAAAATATAAGAACATAAAGTGAAACCTCTGGGTTCCCTCACAGTTCTGGGTGGTATATTTTGCCATTTTTAAAATGTGGTAATTATTATCTTCGCAGAGGAGATGCTGGGTTTGTGCAATTTGTTTAGACTGTGAAATGTCATGTGAGTTTTAGGTGCTGCTCTAGTGTTTTTTCCACATTCACTGCTTTGTGAACAGAGTGTTTATACTACAGCAACGTTACCAACATTTTTAACAGTAGGTGTAGAAGATACCGTCTGTATGCTGTCTCAGCGTTACTTTAGGGCAAAGTGCCAACTAATTGGATGGTCTGAAAACCACTTTTGAGAATTGGATTGCCACATGTTTGCCTGGGGCTTTCTGGACACCCACGTGATCTCCCATGCTTGAGCAAGGCTTTCTGGGGACATTGGCCCTTCGGTGTGTGCATGCAGTGCAGTTAGCCAGCACATGTGCAAGAAACCTGATACTTCCCAGAAGTGTCCCGGTGTACACTATGTATGCTGTAGACCCAGGCTGAGAATTTCCATGGAACATGTACGTGTGCATAACTGTAGACCACAAATAGTTCCATTAAGCCTATTAGTGGAAATGAGACTATTTTCAACAGCTGGAGTTTAAGGAATTGGCTGCCTAATAAGTGGGATTCTGACTACAACTGGCTCTCTGGGTGGTAATGCGGCATATATTGCAATGTTTCAAAACTATGAACGAGCTGAGGTTTGATGACAGCTGAGTTAAATTCACTCTAAACAAAAGTAAACCTCACTTAATATCTGTGATGAATGGCAAGATGTAACCCAAAGCGAGTAGATGTGGTATCTACTTTCATAGCACAAGTTCCTCAGAAATTAGCCTAAAATTATTGGAAGACATGATGATGTTCCAAACAAATCTAGTTCCAAAATCACTGAGCTTGTTACTTTTAAGTAATCAAATAGATCTTTGTGATCTGATCCACAAATTTAATATTAAGTCTTGGGCTTTACAGAGTATGTTTAATTATTAGCAAATTATTATTAGGCCTGCCTTGTTCTACACAGAAGAGAGAATTAAGAAGGGAAAAACAAAGAGAAGCCTTTTTCCTGCTTAGGTCATTTATGTTTAATACAGCTGCTGACTAGTCAACTTCCAAAATAATGTCAGGCTTTGAATATGGAATATTCGGAGCCAAAGTAGAAGTCACTCACATGGCAGCTTTGAGACCATCTCCATCCCATAACAGTAGTTATGGGCCACATCATTCTGTGCAGAGCAGCTGTTCCTTGTGTTCTTGTAAGAAAACATCCAGTGGGATCTGCAACCTGAATATCTGTTGACTACATTTTTGACTCATAGGTAGACGTGGCAATGGCTTTTGAGCATGCGGTGCTGGTCAGTGAGGGATGTGGCTGCAGAAGGTCTCTAGTCCATCAGCTATCCCAGTACCAGTGCTGTGCGTGTCTGTGTCTGACACTTGTGGAAGCACTGCACTGTTTCAGAATCATGGGTCAGAATTTGCTGAGACTACTGTTCTGTGTTCATCCATGAGCTTCTCCTCAGACTCTGAAACTCAGCCCTGTTGCAAGACATTAAGTCCTCCAGGAAAGAAAACTGCAGCTGTTAGTGTCCTCTTCCACACTAGTTTCTCATTCTTGCTTTCAAAACCTCTCATGACATGGCTGTCATCAGTGAAATCTTAACAGAACTCTTTTTCCCTGGAAGAAAACAGCTGTGTCAAAATGTAGGCATTTTAAGAACACATGGTAGTCTTGCATAAATTTTACAAACCTAAAAATTATTTCCTCTTGGCATTTTTTTATAACATACGATAATAAAAATATTAAGAGCTGCAATCATCAAGGCTGTTAAACAGCTATGCAAAGTATATCAATTTTGTCTACATTAAATATTTATGTCAGCCTAAATAATTGGAGGGTAGATGGGAGAAGAGATATTTTTTACATTCTTTTTGTGGAAAGGCAACTCAAGTAACCATAATGATTAATTCTGTTGCCTATGGTAAAAGTATTTAAGATTGGATGCACAGCTTTTGTGCTCCTTTGGACAAGCAGTCATCATTACTATTGGACTCCTACCAATATGGTGGCCAATATGGTGTTTCATCTCCTTGTTTCTACTTATCTCCTCATTGTTTCCTGTTACCTGCAAGGAACATTCCTTGCAGTTTACACCGAGTAGATAAACTCTACATAGTATAACCTTTTCAATGAACACAAGCAATTGAAGGAAGAGTGCAAGCCTTGATTACTCTCCTTTGCTTTCACATCTGTGCTATAGAAGAAAATAGACCATCAAGCAAAAATAACATTAGGAAAGTTGCTTGTTATTCACATAGAATGTGTCAACGCAAATGTGCATGAATTGCATTTTTGGGTATTTTAAGAAAAATTATTATATGGCATCTTTTATTTCAAATAGATGGTACAGACACCCCCTTTTAATATTTGGAGAAGTCTGGTCTATTTTTCCCTTTCTTGCACGTGGAACTCCCATTAAAAATAAGATAAAAATGAGTCATGCTTCTCTCTTCACTGGTAATAATAGGCTAAGTGTGCCTTGCAGTTGCCATTCTCGTCTGGGGTTGCAACCACCTTTTTCTCCTGAGGGAAAGGTGGGGCAGAAGCGAAATTAATTCACATTGCTTTGAAGAATGTTGGTCTTTCCCTGTTTTCTCCATGCACATTATTGTTGTTGTTATTATTATTATTGCTACTACTATTATTATTAACAAGTGTTTCTCAGCTGTTCCTGTTAAAAAAAGATGATAAACAAAAGTTTATTTTCTTTTCGTTTTGCTCAGTCACAGACTTTCCTTGGATTATACCATTTCTCCCTGTACCTGTTTCATTGTGAGGGCAGTATCTTTCCAACATGAAGATGAGTGGGATCTCCTCAGAGCCTCTAGCCCTTATGCCTTTTGTTCAGTGTCTAGTGAACTCTATGAGGCGCTCCCTTCCCGTAGGCTTTGCATGTGCTGCTGGTTCAGGGTTCCCAGGCTGAAAGCCAGAAAACAAATTGCACAACATAACTGTGGCACCTTTTTTTTTTTTTAATTATTCAGTATTTTTATCCTCATACTGCTTGACATTGAAAGTTACTTCCATGTGCAAATATTGAATTTTAAAAATACTTTAGAATATTATTAAAATAAAACACATCAAAGACGTACTTTACTATAAGCTTACTGCAGTACATATTGATGCTCTGACACACGTCGGCAGTAGGATGTTTGTGTGTGAGTGTGAGCTCAGCAAGTGGAAGCCTTTCAAAATGGAGGGAAATACTGTCAAGATGAATGAACAGGGAGCAAGAACTTCATGTGAACTCTTCTGTAATGTGTACTTGATGCTTCTTTGTCTGCCCCTGTAGGCTGAATAAGAAGAGCTTAAATATTATCTTTCAGGGAGTATTTAACAGTGTACTGTTGTTCTAGTTCATAATATCTGTGCAGCTGCCTTAATTTTTGTCTCAGGTAGATCACTGTTTTCAAATACTCTTGAATATTCAGTTAGTTTTGCAGCAATGTGGTTTCAAAACTTTCACAATGTATTTACACCTTCTGCACATTATTGTTAAAAGTGCTAGATAGCTCACAAGAACATACTGTCTTGCTATTTTTGGAAAGGCTGAAGGCTTGGCTTTTGTCTCAGCCCAAAGAAGGGAAGTATGAAGAAGGTGATGGGAACTTGCTAGTTCTCTGAATGAATCGGTAGCTGCTACTTGTTGCTGGTCTGCACTGAAAGCACTGTACTTGAAAATAAATAATTTCCAAGTCTTCAGTAAAGCATTAAGTCCAATAATTTTTAATTCCTTTCTTTCTTTTCTTTCGATAACAGAATTCAATGTAAGTTGCAGATATGGAGGAGTTTTTCATGTTGAGAAAAATGGTCGCTACAGTCTCACACGACCTGAAGCAGTTGAACTCTGCAGAGCTCTCAATAGTACCTTATCAACACTGGAGCAGTTGAAGAAAGCCCATGAACTTGGATTTGAAACTTGCAGGTAAAGAAATTCTTGAAAAAAATAATATATCACGACAATGTTATCCATCCATGCCATAGATTAATAGTAATGTTTACACTTGACTTCATACAGCTATTAATTAGGGAGTTGTATCAGTCCTCAAGTAAGCTGTATTCTGTGATGAACATCTTTGTGCATGTGTATGTTTGCTCTGGGTCCAGCAATAAATAAGTCCTTGGCTGCATAGAATTTTTACCAGTTATCTTTAAAAAATTATAACCTCTTACAGATAAAATCTGGAGATAACAAAAGATTAAGAGTATAATAAACTTAAGATGTCCAGATCATACTGTATCGCCTATTTACTGGTAAGAAAAGTATGTGAAAAATATTTATGATTTTAATGACCTGATGTAAGGTCACAGGCTGAAGATGGTACCTACAGAAAAAGGAATGTGGTCTTATCAAGAAACAGTAAAAAGCAGCAGGTGGTACTGTGAGGGATGAACTCCTAACATCCCAGTGAAAAAATAGCCTCAGTGCATTTATATAATGTGTGAATGGAGAAGTTTCACAAGACAGCCATAAAAATTATTAAAATACCAAAACTACATTGTCAAGTGACTTAATTACTCTCTGTAATTAATAATGTATATGGCAACAAATATAGATTAGATACAGATGCTTCAGTTGAGCAAAAAATAACCAGAACAAGAGACTGGAAGTTATAGAAAAATTTGGATTAAAAAAATTGAGTAGTAATCCAACAAAATATGTAAGGAGAATAATTATTGGCTGAAACAATTTACAAGGGTTGTAGTAGATTCTTTGTCACACTGCAATTTCATCAAGATGAAATATTTTCCCCAAGGATGCCCTCTGTTCAAAGAGTAATAAAGTCAAGATGGTCCTATAGTCTGTAAATATGTCAAGACTAGATGATCATGTGATCTTGCTTTACAAAATAATTTGCAATAATATACATACTATGCAAGTCATCCTAAACATTCACATGCAGAAAACAGATTGAACTCAGGAGCTGAAAATGTGAAGTTTGCTTGGGTTTTTTTAATCAAATTTATTACAATTTAAAACAAACAGCAAATGTGGAGAAATTGAGTTTATATAACTGACTGAAGTAGGAAGGTTTTTTCTCCAGAATTTTAAGACTTTCATTCTGGTACCATGAGAAATAGTACTGGCATCAGCAGTCTTTCCTGTGAATTATTTCATTTCAGTTTGGTCAATGGCACTTTAATTTTTTAATGGCTAATGCATGAATGTTCTTTCGCACTGGCTTGAAAGCCCATGAGTATTGGATAAAGTTCCTTTCAAATTAATAGTATCTGTACAAAGTAATTTGTAATCACGGAGAGGTACATGTGCAGTGCCTTGAAAACATTCTTATACATAAAACAGTCATACACTGCCACTGATGACAGCATATGGCACGTTCATTTTCACAAGTATTATGGGCTGCATGGTGGTGAAAGGTTGTGGACAATAGTGCCAGGGAACAACGGACAGAAAATTCTTAGGAACGCCTTCCATGAGAAGTGGAAACGTTGTTTATAAAAGTACCACACAAAAGCTAGGACAATTCTTTGAGGGAAAAGTCCTGCATAACACAGGAGTCACGTTCTTTCTCTAACTTCAGTATATGAACATACTCAGCATTCTGAATTGTCCAGCACTGCACAATATGTAGAGACTAAGGACTGAACCCCAACTAAACTCCTAGGGTGTAGAGATTTCTAGTGAAAAAAACGATGAGTATTCTGCAATGTGGAAAGTCTTTTCTGAAGTTAAAATATGAAGATAATTGAAAGAAGGATTGGAGGGAAATGCACTGGGGAGCAGTAGGTTTTAATTAATGTTACAGTTCTTCCTAATTCACAGTTTAGCAGAGGGACAGATTTGGACAAGTAAGGCATGTAGGTAGGATCCTTCCTCCCTTCCTTCTGGCCAGCCCTCCCACCCTCTTACTTTCATTGGCTCATCCTGTGCAAGCAGACCTTGTCAGCAACGCAAATGCACTTTTTATTCAGTCTGAGGTTGTATTTATTACCTGACACTGAAGACGGGCTTTTTTTTTTCTTCAGCGAGTCACATTTTCATTGCTTTGAGCATAACATACTACTTGGTGGCATTTCACACAGATGGGTTGGAGCCTGAATTTATAGTACCTGAGCGACTTTATAGTATAACTGTGAGACACATCACTTCCTGCAAAAGCTGACAGCTTAATAAAATATTCAGATACAACACTTATCCATCCACAAATTCTTACTGTATCTTTCAGTTGAACAATGTGGGTATTATGAGCAGAGCTCATCTATTTCAGTGAAGACTGTGGTTAACAGGGCTACATAATGCACGGTGTGTTATTACTATTTTGCAGTCCTGTACCACCTGATTAACTTCAATATATTTAGTTGAGAGGTGTGATAAAATGGTAACGAGAACTGGGGTTTGGTTTCGGTTTTGTTTTACTTCTTGAGAGGTGCAATTTATCAGGGAGGAGTGAGTTTCATAGCTTTGCAGTTTTTATCTGTGCAATTCTGAAACTTTCTTGTAGGTGGAATTATAAACTGCTTTACTCACACTTCGAATGTTGACACTGTATAACCCATTAGTCACCCACTAGTGTTATAGCCTGTGGATTCATCTTATTCACTCATCATTCCACATGTATTTTGTTGATTATATGCAGTAGATTTTTCTGTCCTAATCAAGCTCGATAGGAAACTAGCCTCCCAGTAGAAATTACATGCAAAATGGTGTTGAGTGGCTGGAGACTGAGGTAGCTACACATGAGAAAGGAACATGCTTCATATACAAAAAGTATGCATAAAATCTTGCAATTTTTAAAAATAATGTAAGACGAAAATTATGGCTTCTTTGTACCTTCTTCATGTTTGAGATATCTAGAACATTTATGCCATCTGCTATAATTTGTGATATGGTGTATTTTCCTCTGTTCTTCACAGGTATGGTTTTGTAGTGGGGAATATTGTTATCCCACGGATCAACCCCTATCATCTTTGTGCAGCAAATCATACTGGCATTTACAAACTTTCGGCAAACACAACTGGTCGGTATGATGCATACTGCTACAATGCGACAGGTATGTATATGCTTTTATGGTGATTTAGATATAGATTAACTAACAATAACATACGTAATGTCCTATATAAGGTACTGGAATAAGGGCTTCTGTATTAAATATAATCCATTTTTCAGCTGAGAATACATTTTGTCGCCCTCTAGAACTGTGTCTATAATACCAGCAATGAATTTGACCCATTATTTCATTAGTGTGTTTTAACCTAAACCGTTTTCTGTCCGTAAGACTAAGTTAGCTTCAGAGCAGTTCATTACAATGGCTTAGTGCAGTGAACCACTGCAGCAGTGAATCTAAAAGACATAACCGTCGTAGGCAATAGCACTCAGCTCTTCTGCTCATGCACATAGAATGGTTTGAGTTGGAAGGGACCTTAAAGACCATCTAGTTCCAACCCCCCTGCCATGGGCAGGGACACCTTCCACTAGACCAGGCTGCTCAAAGCCTCATCCAGCCTGGCCTTGAACTCTTCCAGGGATGGGGCATCCACAGCTTCTCTGGGCAACCTGTTCCAGTGCCTCACCACCCTCTCCGTGAAAAACTTCTTTCTGATATCCAATCTAAACCTCCCCACTTTCAATTTAAACCCATTACCCCTTGTCCTGTCACTACAGGCCCTTGCAAAAAGTCCCCCCTCCAGCTTCCGTGTAGCCCCTTCAGGTACTGGAAGACTGCTAGGCACATCTGAACTTCTATAGTGAACAACACTTGTACTAAGGGATGCTTGGGTGGCCGCCACCTGCAGCAGCTCCAAAGCCTGGAGTGGCCATGACAGGACCACAGGCATGGCTGCTGCTGTCCCGTGTGCAGGTTCATCCAGTGTTTGCCCTTGGACAAACCTCCATTCAGTCATTAAGCAGTTAGAGAGTGATGAAGGCCAGAAGCAGAGGGCTTTCTTATAAGCTTTTGAACTGTTTAATAGTTGGAAATATTTTACTAAATTATTAGAAAAATGTAGATAATCTTGTGACAGATGCTGAACACAGTATTTGAAGATAAAATCAGGACTAACTTCAGGAGTCTTGAATTTCAGCAGATTATTACATTCACAGTGGAAACAGATTTTACAGAAAGCTGTAAACAAAATTAATTGATGATTTGAATGGCAGTAACATTTTTTGATTTTGTTCTTGATGTTAGTATCATTAAAAAAATCATCTTTGCATTGGCATAGTATCAGGTGAGCTGCCATCATCTTTCACCCATGGGAAGGTGCACCCTCCCAGGAAGGAACAAAAAGGGAACATCGATAGACCTGTGAATAACATTTGATTTGGATATTTCTTTTCAATCATCCTCATCTGAAGCTGATATTTTGCTGATTATATATAATTAATGAGTATGCACATAACTTTTTTCTCAATTGTCTGAAATTAATATCTTCTTTTTTCCTTCTTTTACAGAAACAAGGGACAAAGCGTGTGAGCCAATTGAAAGACTAGATACTTCTTTCCTCAATAATCAGGGTGAAATAGGTACTGGATTGATTAGAAAGACCTGCCATTTGTTTCATTTTTAGGATCTGGTTATCTTTTTTTACATAAATAATTCCTAATATTAAAAATCAAGCCAAACATGTAGAAAAAGAATTCAAGAGATGTTCGGCAGCAATTAGTCTCTTGTTTTCCCCTAAATCCTATGGAGCTTGCTTTGCCTCAACACACTACCAAACATTTTTATATAGGTATTTGACATGTTTTAGAACCCCAGAGCTGCTAATGTTACTTTGACATATAGGACTCTGCTTAAGACAGCAACCTTATACATCTCATTTGAGCTGCTGGCTGGAAAAGCAGCTGGAAGTGGAAGAAAATTCTCATAATAATTTATTTGTCCCAATTCTAAAATTCTGGTTGACTTTACAGAGGCCTAGTTTTTATGTTCAAAATCAAACGGTCATAAAAATATCAAAATGTTTGATGCAGAGTAGGCCCTATATGCTTGACAAATATATACATTATCATATATACATTAGACATAGTTTAGTGATGTATGATCTAGACAGATTAGATAGAATGGCAAAAATGGATGAACTGCTATTAATCCACAACTGTTCCTCTTTGCTTTTTGTTATAGGACGTAAACTGTTTAGCATTACTGAAGCATAGCTCCTTGATATATCAGCTTCTTAATTTCCTCTTTCCAACAGTCATTGACAATGCAGATGGCTCACGTTACAACGCAGATGGCACGCGACATAGCGGAGACTCCTCCACCTCAGGTGTGGATGATGAAAATATAGGTAGTGGATCAACACATGACACAACTCCCGTGGATACCACCACCAGGAGATCCAGCCCCTCATATTACGGAAGTGTTACTCCAGTCTCACAGCTGCCAGACCATTCTTCTGGAGGGGGTGAAAAAGAAATTCCGAGAGAAGATTCTGGTAAGGACAGTGGGTTGCCACTATATCCCCTTTAAAGTAACTGAGTGAAGGATTACATCGCTAGTTAAAGGGTATCATGAGGAAATGAGAAGCACCATCTCTAATTTGTATCCTGCGGAAGTAGAAGAAGAATGTGTGTCTTTGAAAGAAAACAGAAGCATTCTGAAATTCTAAGGGTTTGTGTTTTTTTGGTTTGGTTTTTTTTTTTGAATGCATGGGAGTACAAAACACATCAGCACAGTTTTCCACCTAAACCTTCACGGAATATTGAAAATAGATGCTTCTAAGAATTTGCTCTTGTTCTTATTGTAATATTTATTTCATTCAAGGCTTAAAAATGAATCTAGCAATAAACATAGAGAGGTTAGTGAGGCTAAGGGTATGGGTATATGGAGATAAGGATAACATTCTTATCTGTTCTCTAAAAGGACAAATTGACATCAAGTGATAACAACAAGGAGTTTACAGTACAAGTGATTTCTCTTTGTACAAATACAGAGTTATTTTTAGGACATCTTCTTACTATAGCATATTACAGAATGCACAGAGATATGAAAATGACAAATTAGAATTTTAATATCTTCTTCCTTTAAGTGATAAAGCCAAATTTTATTTTTATGAAGCCCTACCAAATGCAAATACCAGACTCTTTTCTAGGGCATTCTGCAGGGTGACAAATCAGTGAATTAGCGTGCCTTGCCTGTATCTTACTTTCTTGTGAAAGTGGCATGTGTTCTGTTTCATCTTTTATGTTGCTTGAAGACTAGCTGCCATTGAACCTAAGGGATACAAATACAATTCATCCTGTTTACTGTGGGACTTATGACTACAGGCTTTTTATCAGATCACCGGTAACTTACCAGTGAAGGATGACTGTAGTTTGCATCATTATTTCCAATAAATACTGAAATTAAAAATAAATAAATAAATAGATAGATAAAGAAATAGATGTTGAGCAGGAGCATTAGGACTATAAAATGACTTTTCTTTGGTGGTATACTCATGACATCTTATGCTTGCTTTTTCATGTAGTTAGCATTACTAAAGGTAAATCCTAACATTCTCTTCCTAAGGAACTAGGATCAGAGCCATTCCCCAAGGTATATGCCATATATTACAATTGCTTGCCGTGGCAAGTCTTACCAACTCTGGTTACATGCAGAGTTCAGATTTTTTGATTAATTGTCAGCATGTATCTTAGTAAAGAGCGGAATAGAAATAACTTCACTCATTGCTCTAGAATCCCTGTCCAGGTAGTGTATAGGTACTTAGAGCTTGAATCACATAAACAGATCATTGCCACAATGTTCATTATCCCTGTAATACATATTCCTCTTGAAAGAATCTGTTTTCGTGATATCCTTACTATGTTAGTAAAGTAAGGCTATATAGGGTTGAATTATATGATGAACCTAGTCTGTATCTTCCTTTGCTTTTGAACCAATAAATGAAGGAATGAATCTTGCAGTATAGAATAATTGAAGTTGTGAGTACTGAGTTTCAACTCAGCTAATGAAATAGTAATTATTCATCCATCACCATACAGATGATGAAACTTCTTCTGTATCAACTGACATCCCTTTGGTGTCGACGGCTGATGATTACCCTGAAAAAGATGGTGGACAGTATCCTGCGAATACTAGTAAGATATATGTATTACAATAACTGCATCAAATATAGAGAGCATTAAAACTGCTTTCTTCTTCCAGCAGGACATTCTGGTAAGTGGTTAAGTATGCATCATCTCTAATTCTGGGACGACATTGAAAGACAGTACTTTCTAGACTGGTTATGTGAGAAATAAACTTCACGCTCTGGGACAAGAGGAACAAAACCATTTACAGTTCAATGCTTATACATGGGTTCAGAAAGATCGATGGTTTGTGTTTTCCATTGCTTTTTATCATGCCTATTTACTCTGAGTACCACAAATTAGTGCAACCAATTATAACTTGAAGTCAATTTATTTCTGAGTAGGAAAGTTTTGTAATTTTGTGATCAATGTGTCTGTGACTCTAATATATTTATGGTTGTGAATATGGGTAATCTACACCAAAACCATGGCCTTGCTCACCAAAGCAGTGCTATAAGTGGCAGTTCCAATTGCCAAGCCACCTATGTACTGCACAGACTAATTTCATCCTTGTTGTTGGCAATATGCATGAGGAAAAACTGGGGCCTGTGGTGGATCCACAGGCTTTGAGGGTTCAAAACAACAATAGCTGTTTTCTCTGCTTTGTCCTCATATAGCTGTACTAAGTAGGAAAAACTGCTTGTGATGTTTTTATTAAAAACATAGTGCACAGCAACTAAAAACCCTTTTGAAGTCATCTTACACGTTTTAAACTGGAACTGTACATATATTCACTCTAGTTGTTAAGTTTAGGGTGGTTGCCCAGAAAATCCAGTGAACCTAAAGGGAGAACATTTTAATTATCCATGAAGATCTACAGAGGAATGTTGTAGTAAAGTGTGAACTGACAGAAACTAAAGTTTCTTACTGTTCTTTTTTTTCTTCCCACCCCCCCC